TTTTTTTTTTTTTTTTTTGTCACTATGTTTAATTTTTTATCAGTTTGCATTTATTTTATTTTAAGATCTCTTCTCCTACAATTATTTTTTTTCTTTCTTAAATATGAAAATGTTAAAAGAATACTATTTTAGTTTATTAATTTTTGAAATTATTCTTTTCAGTTTATTCGTAAATGGTTATGCATTATTTATGTATACATTCTTACTGATTTTTGTTATGGGAATTTGTAAAAATATATGTGTTACATAGATTTATTGGTTTTTTAGTAATGTCTTAGCTTTCTTGAAGTATACATATTTTTTTATATATATTGTAATCATTTTATATATATATAAACACGTAAAAAAAAGGTTTTGATTTGACAGAAATTCACTGTTCACTAAAGAAGAAAATTAGTTTAAAAAGCTAATTTGGAGCTTTTATTTTTGGTGGCTTTTACATGTACTCAGTGACTGAACCTATAATATTGGTATTTTTCCAATCAGATATATATTCTGCATTATAACTGAAACCAGAAAAATATTTTAATATTTCTCATAAAATGTACAACATTAGGATTGGGAGCTCTGTAAATATTCTTTTTAACCATTTTCATTATCTCATTTGCTAAGTTTTAAAGTATAACGATGTAATAAGTTGATAGTTGACTAAAGTTATCATATGATAGATAGCCCATTGAATTGCATTTAGTTTGTTTTTTTTATTCATTAGAAGTACAACTTTTTTTTTATAAAAAGCATAAAAAGATGTAATAAAATGCTTCAAAGTATAGGTTATAAACATGCTATTCTGCACTTGCTTAGTGAGTTATGAAAATGGCTGACATTGTAAATTGCATATAAAGTACTCTATTAGTAAAAACAAAAAATTTTGATCAACAGTTATTACATCCCGTATATTTACTACTCTAGTTTTTAAACACAGTTTGTAAAATAAAATAAGTGGGTTAATAAGATGTTACTTTTTTTATATAAATGAGATATGTTATATTGTGGTTAACAAGTGTATTAAATAGTTAGAAAAACATATAACAATGGTAGTGGGTTAATGATTTAGCTCAGTAGGTTAGAGTGCCTATTTGTGGTCATCTCTTTGGAGGAGTCCATGAGGCAGGGGAGTTGGAATACACAAGGGGAAGTATAAAAAAACATTGACTCTGACAATGTTTGACAATGACATCTTTGTGAGAGAGAGAGAGAGAAAAGTTATAGTAGCTGGGTAGTTTGAGTTGCTATAAATAAACAATATGTAACTTAACTAATTGTATATGCTTAACATTTGTCTTAGTTTGTGTGTAGTGTTTGGTTTTCATCATCTATTGGAGAGGAGATTCAACTGTTGAGAGATCACAGTTAAACTTCATTGTTCTTTAACATCATCGTTATTCATATATGTTAGTATTCATATATTCATGCTTTTCACGTTATGATTCATGGAAGACTGACAAGAAAATATGTACAAAATTTTATGCTATTTTCAATTATTTATTTTGGAGATACATCTCACAAAATTTAAAAGACTAAGAATGAACATCTATTTCAAATGAATAAAGTAGTGCTTACACAGTTAAGTCTCTCTCAGCTATAAATTTAAATATCTGATGGAAATTAGATATTGTTGGCATAAGGACACTAATAATGCGTAATTCTCTTTCTGTTCTTAGGTTGAACACGGACTGGAGGCAACAAAGAAGTGGGTTAGGACATCTTCTCTTCGAAGGCACCTGGGAAGAAAACAGAGTGTTCGAAGAAAGACTCATGAGGTATTTCTATCAACAATAACAGCCTGTAAACACTGTGTGAATAAATCTGACTGTCTACAAAATTATATCTGTTTGTTCTATCCATTGAATCTTTTATTTTGTTGATCTGTTCTCAGTCATCATTAATTAATATTAACTAATCATAACAAGATACCTACATAGATCAGAACTTAAAACTAGCCCACTAAATTAATATACTGTTCTTACATTCTTCATCAGATGGGTAATTTTATTGTTAGCGATATTTTTGGCTGCAATAAATTTCTTAAGCTAAATTTGAAGCCTCATCTACCAAGAACACAGTAAAATAATATGAAACTGTAGGAAGGAAGGTCTAGACTACTATTGGTACTGTTAAATGAATGTTATTTTACCTTTAAATTTGTAAAAACTTTCACAAAGTAGTACCTCAGAAAAATGGTTTGTTACATAATATTGTGTGTTAGTTATTAAGTGATCTTTAAAAGTAACTAATTCAGATTGTTATGTATATAACAATTAACAAATTGGATTTTGATCTAGAATGTGCACACACACATATATATATTTCACATAATAACAGTACAAAACTAAAAATGTTAAACACATCCCTTTAGGTTCTTTTTCAACACACAATTCATATTGCTATATAGGTTCTTATCAGATTCCCAAAATATAAAATACAAGTTCAAAACACACCTTTCATTTAACCTGAGTTTATATTAAAAAATTTAACCAACCAACACTTCATCCTTTGTAGTTACACTTTTAGGGTTGTTGATTCACATTCCTCTAGTAATTTTAAATTCCTAATAGTTTAGACACACATTACTATTAAATTCTATAAAAGAAGTTGAGTTCTAATTTATCATTTCAGTGAAAAACAAAGAATCTTTAAACTTTTTTTTTTTTATTATAGAAGTTGAAATTTGATAGGTTTATATTCAATGGTGCATGCTCTTTGGAGTATTGTTCTGTCATTGGTTCTGAAAATATGTAAATCAAAATTTCATTGCATTCCATATAATCACAAAGTTTATACAGTTCATAGAATTTCTGCAAAGTTAGAGAACAATAAATATATTTTGAAAACCTTGAAAGTCAGGAAATTTTTATGAATTCTAGTTTGGTCATGGAATGGTATGAGCTTACTACAGAAATTGTGTGTAGTTGCTGACTTTTAATTCACCCTGCGTCTAATGTCCCTGACTAGTCATGTTTTCAAAATAATATGGATTCAAACAAAATAAGGAATACCATACTTTTAAGTTATTTTACACAACACTTGGTGTGTATTACCTTATTAAAGTTAAAGAGCATTTTATATTGTAATAAAATTGTATAGTGTATTGTTCAGAAATGCAGTGTTTGACTGTTAGACTGGTGTGAATAAACTGTTGTGTACAGAATATTTATCTTTACTGATGTATGTGACAGGCAGGGACGGTATCAGATGGGGAGCTAGCTACCAGTAAACACTCCCCAGCAGGAAGTATGCTGGACTTGAACCAGGCTAGTGACAATTCCATCAAAGGTAGCAGCAGTTGCTGTAACTCAGAGAGAGGAGTAGACGTTGGACGAGTTGGTGGGTGGGCAGCAGGATTTAACCAGTTACTGGAAGATCCAGCTGGGCTTTATACCTTTACCGTTAGTAGAATTTACTAAGTCTGAAATTAAAGAATATTTTATCATGACTGAAAAAAGACTATTTAAAAGTTAATAATCTCTACATTAATTTCTATTCTGAATGTATATTTGTATATATGTAATTTGTTATTTTTATATATATATACATGTGAATACCTCTCTGTGGGTCTGTTCCTTATGCAAGGCCACATCTTTAAAGTTACAAACTTCAAACTCAGGATGCAGATATAACTTTGTGAAGGAAGTAGCATGGGCTATGTGGTTGGGGCCTCAGAGGCTGCAAATTGAGGCCAAAGTGACCAATGTAGCAATTTTTGGCAAACAGGATGACCAATTAGTCTGAAGTTGAAAGGGCCATTTTTTTAGTTTTTTTTTGTAATATGGGATCAAGAGGGCTATTAATTACGTTTCTTTTCTGTGTTGGGACTTCTTCTAATCATTCTATCTATGGTCATTTATGTGTTAAAATGAGTTAAAAACTTGGTGGAGCCTTCATTTGTTTGTGGTCTTTCCTTTCCTCTCTTTCTTCTACACATACATGCCTACTCTCTAACTCAACTGAAACAAGCTGGTGCTTTCTCTTGGACGTGACTGCACACTCCCTCAACTAAATAGGCTTGCTTCAGCCATATTGTTTACTTTGCTTGTATGTACTCGCAAGAATCAACTATACAATGACTTTACAAAAACGTTTGGTATCGTCAAATTTTCAGTTACGTTGTGTTGCAATGGGAAGAGAATAAATCGATTCTTCATTAAATGGAACAATGATAAGCTCGGAATACGCTGCAAATAACGCTCGACCACACAGTAGAAATCAGCACATCAAAAGATAGGGAATTTTGTTTTAGACACTTGAAATGTCATGCAAAGCACATGCAACAATGTACCCAGTTCTGCTTTGATTAAAATAACTTTTGCAAATTTTTATTTTTTTTGCACACTGTTATTTTTATTGATTTTAATCAAAATGCTTAGTTAAGTAAAGAAGTCATTTTGCAAAAATCATGTTAATGTGGTTGATTTAATCAAAACAACTCGGGTACTTAAAGCTTGCTTCTTCACTTAGGGATTATTTGCTGCACAGAACTAAGGTTACATTTACAACATTATTATTTTTTCATGTTGTCCATATCGAATTTACTGATATTTTGGTACTACAGGTAACTTAAATTGCGGTTTCTTTCAGAATTTCTTGATTGTAACTTTACAAATTTTGGTTTATATCCAGTGGTATTGTGAACTGATGTAGTAATTACACATCCCTGGCTTTACTATATTATTCAGTAGATTATTTAGTTACAATTAAATTGTTAAAATATTATAATTGCCATTATGTTTTATAAAAAAATATGAGAACCTTTTTTTTTTTTAAATAGTCACTAAATATTTTAATAGCTGCTTGGTATATTATTTATAAAAATGATGGTGTTTTGACTCTAAAATATTTAAAACCTTGTATTGGAAGAAAAAAAATTTTTTTTTTCAAGTTGGATAGTGCGTAACATAAATTTAATCTTCCTCGTTACAGGAATTTTTGAAAAAAGAATTTAGCCAAGAGAACATGATGTTTTGGATAGCTTGTGAACAGTACAAGAAACTAGGTGATAAAGAGAAGGTAAGATAAATTATAAGATTAATGTGTAAATAGTCAAGAAGCTTCATGATTGAAGGGGGGTAAAGCAAATTCTTAATGCATGATCAGGTTTCAACCTATGGTGTGAACTTACTTAACATTCATAGTTCTAGTGGAAAGGATAAGAAATAAAGTACATGCATTATGCTGTAGAAAGTAAATTGTGTAAATCTTTAAACTTGTATACATCTATTTATTCTTGAAAAAATTCAACAAATGTTGAAAATAAAAGAATATTTCTGCTGATCAAAATGCTGTTTAAATTATGGCTCCACGAGGATAATATTTATAGTTACCTATATGATTGTCATGATATAAAAAACTGTTTGGTTTAAATATTAGTGATTAATTTATATTTGTGAGTGAATACTTTATTATTTTTAATTTTTGTGTTATAATAAGAGTTAAAAGCAGACGATTATAAAAGGTTTTGTTAATAACTAATTGATGTCGAGAATATAGAAAGTGGCCAGACAACTATGTAATAAAGATATAAATAGCGTGAGACGAGCGGGAAGCAGCAGACACAGTATTAAACAGATAAAAGCAAAGGGAATATAGTTGGTGTGAAGTGAAGTAACATAAAAGTGATAGGCCTAATGACAGACATAGGCCTAACATTTAATATGTTAGAGTGACACTAACAGTATAAAAAAAGATAAGAAGGATAATTTTATTCCATCAAAGCGTGGTTCTAAAGTAGTTGAATCAGCCTGGATACACTTTGACAAAAGGAACAGAGATCTTCAAAGAAAGAACACCAAACAAATTATGGTAACTTGCACCACAAGTGTAAGTGAATCACATACAGAATTACTAGTTTGATAGTAATATAGAGAAGATAGTTTGACTTGTCAACTGAAATTCTAATGTAATTGAATAGGCCTAAGTAAACATTTGACAAGAAGAGTATAACTATATAAATAGTGTATATGATATGCCTGTAATATCTATAGTGTGAAAACTTTGTTGTACATAGGTTTGAACTGTTCCAAATATATATATATATATATATATATTACTTGAAACAAGTAAAGTGTGTAGCTGTTTATTCATCGTT